TATTTACAATTCTGTCCTACGTTAAATGAACATTTCCGGATACGTTAAATGAAACAGTACTGATTAATCTCCAGTTTCAAATTTTGATGATTTTTCAACTCCTAAACAGAAATGTTAGTGTTTGGTGGTGTGTGCCCATAACCATATTTTTCATGTTCAGCGATTATAACCTTTAAGCCGGAACCTATATCATTGCCCGCATTGCTTTCTTGGCACCGAACCGGCATTAACTTTGATGGATTTATCATATTTTTCATTGGTCTATTCTAAGCTGGTAATTTGCCTTTAATTTACTTTCATTAACAGCTTTGCCTTTCTACATTGACCGTCATTCATCTTATCGATCTTCTAGTGATTAATACGTTTGAATGATGGTCCTGTATCTTGATCCTCCTTCATTCTTTCCATTCTGCGTTGATCTGCTATCGATGATTTGATAGCATTTGACGAATGACGAATTTGCTCTTTACAACATCGTAACGATTTTAAATCCAGAAAATGAAGTAATCTATCTACCAGGTAAACCAACCTCAGGAAACTGAGTTTATCTGTGGAGAACCACCAGTCTACACCCATTTTTGTAATTTTTCTAGTACCTTTGGGAAAAGTTATTTTCTTTTTGGCATGAAAATGTCTGCGTTCTATAAGTAAAGCTATTTTCTAAATTGTGGAATACAGTTAAACGGAATTTATCATTTATGGGCAACAGTATAGGCTCATTTAATACTTACTGCGTTATTGTTTTATATCATGTTTTTCGGTTCAAATGAATCAGAAAGAACAATAATTTTTTGTTGAATTTTTTTATTATTTTATTTTTTAAATGGCGAAATTTTTGTGGTTAATCACTTTGTCGAATGTTTTAGGCCGAAGTAGTGTATGATTTCACCGCAGAGCCGGGAAGCACCGAGCTGAGCATCCGCGTTGGCGAAGTGCTCGAGATCGTTCGTCAGGTAACTTTGTTCAGATTCGTTTGTATCGACGCCGTTGGTCGAATCGATCGACAGCTGCTAAAATATCTTTCAGGACGTGGGAGGTGGATGGTGGGAAGCCATAAACTGTCTTGGCGAGCAGGGTCTCGTTCCTGAATCATACGTGAAGGTAAGCTGTGAACCGATTTGTTTCATTGATTTTAATGTTTGCTGGTTTATTCTTGGCAAAATCAGTTGTTGACCCCAATGACTTTAATGATAAGCAACGTTGATCAGCAGTTAAGGTAAGAATGAGAAACTAAATTGTTATGGCCAGAAAGAAACAAATGTGAAATACTCAAATTTATTTATTTTTACTAGTTTGTTTTATGCACAAAATCTATTTTCTGTTTTTATTAGGTTGTTTTACGCACAAATTGAAGCGATACTCTACGTTTACGAGGAATGCTTCGTTCTGCCCTTGTAACCAATGTCTGAAGTCATGGGCTAAACATGAATTATAAGTTTAATCAGTTAGTTTAATTGTTGGTGAACTTAGTTTTGCTGGGCAAACAATGTGGGTGATTCTTCTTATGTAATGTTTTTGAATATTAAGGCTAATATTGAAAACTTTATGAAGTACCTGGCAATTTATGTCTTTTACTCAGACTTGGGATGACCCTACGGGGTTTCACTAAATTGCTGCGTCATACGATCATATTCAATATTTTATAATATGTGACGATCATCTACACCTGTTTCTTGTCCTTCAGAGTTATACGTGATGAATATTTCAACGATTAACACCCTTACTTCGATCACTATCGTACCGTTGTCGGTTTCAGTTTTAAGATATTGTCTCATCGTTGACTGGCAATATAGCCTTGAGGTCGGTTCGTCAAAGAGCGCATGACCAGTGATCAGTATCCGCTGCAAAACGATGTTTTAAAAGCATATTCTGTACATGATGGGACCGTTCGAACATACTCAATCTCTTTATTTACCAGAACATGCTTTGCATATCTGTTTTCTTCATTTAATCCATTCCTTAACAAATTTGAAGAAAGTGAATAGTCAACAAACCGATTTATTAATATGGTTATATGTTCTACTAACTACATGCGCACGACTGTTTGTTAAATTCCGAGATAACGACTAAAAAATTGACCTGTTTGTAACTATTATGGCTTGACGCAGAATTTAAATTATGCCACCGTTTTGGTCAAGCTAATTCTAATTATGATTCGCGAAGTTGTCAGAGAACAAAGTTTCTATGACAGCATTTATCTTTGTAATAATCATAAATGAAAATTAGTGTTCGCTCGTTAGTATAATCGACTGTATTTTCAGTGCAGTAAGCTTGTTAATGAATTCAGATGAAGCCTTTTGACATTTGCTGTTGCACAAGTTTTGACCGGAATCGTATTAGATGCTGTTCGTGATATGATAAGGAACGGATGGATTAACTGAGGTTAACAAATTACCGGGAAATATTACATAGGAGAGACGGGAACACCGTTATGTAAGCAACAAATTCCTATTTGCCAAGCTTAAGAAGAGAGATGGTCGCGCCGTGGCAACGGAGCACTCGATGCAAACCCAGCCCAGTCAAGGAACAGTGCGAATGTACTTCCGGGACTGTTCAGTGCGCGACATTGGAAGGATATACCCTGGTGTTCAGAGTGTATCACATTATTGAGGAAGGGCAGTAGCTGAACTGGCGCGACAAGGAGATGAATCCAGTCATGCGACAACTTCAGCCGTGATGAATGATACGAACTCTGTATGGACTGAATGAGCCTGGTCGGCTATGTGGCCAAAACTATTTAACCGGTACCATGGACTGAAACTTCTCCTTCTCCTACCGAGCATTCGAATTGTTGCGAACGAGTAGAAGGAGTTTCGAAACCTGTACAACTGTCTAGGGCGCGCGAGTCTCAGACCGAAACTTCTGTGCTGTCAATCATTCGATTCACCGAATCATTTTCGCCGTGTATTATTAAACCATGTTTTATGCTGTTCTCAGCATTACATTCGAGGCGTGAAGGGGGCACAAGGACGAAGAAGTTGGTTTCGAACTCCGAAGGTGTCAGTTTCGATTTTGGGCAGAAGAAGGTCTTTGTCTTAACAACGAATTTACCACATATAACTTAGGACCGGAGTTGTTCAGTTGATAGAGCGTATAACACAAATGTCAGAACGGACAGGTCCCACTTTCGAGCCTCGGTCAGGGTTACTGTCTTTTCTTCCTTCCGAGGTTGATAAATGAGTACCACTCTCTGCGAAGATAACAGGAAACTCCATATTATGCTTGCCACGTGGTTGCTGCCGAAGGACTCTGTCGTTCAAAGAACTCACTCCTGGCTGATGAATAAAAATGGAGATCAGTGTCACACCATGAAAGTGTAAGGAATGCCGACACTCAAACAGTTAAAAATTTTCCTTCGTTTTTTCCAAGATTCTAGTTGTTACGAAATGCCCCCAACAGAGTAAACGCTAGCGGGGCCGGATTTGAGCCGTACACACGCACAGATATGATGTTTTCCCCGTACCCGTTAAATTTTTAATTATTGAATGGTCATGACTTCTCTCACAGGTTATCGGTCGCAAGATTGTCGCTGACATAGACCACCAGATGTTATCGAAACCCGTTCCCGTTTTTTCAATGCTGTGTGTGCCTTACGATAGCTAAAAGTTTAGCTGTCCTTCGTCGATAGCACACAGAATTAAGTAGGGCTTTCAACGATCAAGTTTTAAAATTCTTCCTATGATTGGAGTAGTAATTATGGAACAAGATTTGCGTAAGGAAATCATACGCTTAGTCGAATGTCAAGAACTATGGCTTTTGTTACCTGATGGTAAATGCAGATCATCAGTCATTGAACGAGAATAGCGAGAACATCAAGCAATTGGCAGGCGGGGGCACTTTGAATTAGTAATGATTTAATGATTTTGATCACCTGTCTAAGACTTTCGGTTTAAGGCAATTTTCGCCCGTTCTTAAAAACTCCCTCTAATAAGCGTGAACGGTTTTATTTGCTTTGAATGTTTTCTGATGAAATGGGAGTTTTCTTTGTGCAGTTGTTGCCAGAGATTGCTGGCGACAACATTGGCTACCAAAGCGATATTTAATTAATGGATTTTTGTTAGTAAGTTGAATGTTTCACAGCAGAGCGGCGACCAGAATGTATTTATGATGAAGTGTGATTGACGATGAACATTTATTGATCAGCTTCAAGATGGGTTGGTCGAGGATTTGAGTTAATTGTAATGGATAGCATGTCGGCGGCTTCGCCCTGTTTTAAACGTCAGCTCATTTTTCGGTTTCTGTTTCGGGTTCGGCGGGGAGCGTGCTTTTGTCGTCGCCGACGTGTCTACGATGATCTTGGCAAGAAGTGCGACAGATGAACGACGAGGACGGTTGGAAGCGAGTTTCTCTTTCTACTCGGCAGTTGGCTTGTATTGCCAGATGTCGCCTTAATTCTTCCCCTCTGCTGCACGTTGATCTTCATGACTTTCTTGCGACATCTCGACGTATTTCTCGTTGTTGACGAAAACGCTAAAGTCAAAATGAGCGTTATCTTTACCTGTATGTCTTTCGTCCTCGTGTCCCCCTCTTCGGAAGGCGACTGACGGCGTCGAATCGCCATTTCGTGCTTGCGTTCGACAATCGCCGCTGCCACCGCCGCCGCTCTACTCATAGCCACGGGGGAGAGCGAAAGGGGTGACGAGGGAGATCAAGAGGAGAAAACTGGTGACGTTTGTGAGATCATCGCTATCACTGCCAACATGATGTTTATCCGAGTGACGTTGCCATCAAGCAGACGTTCGCACCGCTCGTTTTCACACCCGACGTCGCCGTTCAATCTCCCAAGGGCTCGTTCTGAATGCCGTCACTCTGTTATCACCTCTTCATCAGTGCCCGTCGGTCGCAAAGTCTTCGCTCCTTCGCTGTCGTCGTCTTCCATGAAAGTAAGATTTCCACAATACATTGTGATTGTGTGATTGCTTCCGGTCTCCAGATTTACGGATGCCAAGAGACCGTTTACCGCGTCTGATGTAACTTATTAACACAACGTAATCTCGACAACTGGAGACTGGTAAATGTACTGTTATAGCTACGTGGTCGTTCAGTGATAATTTAATTAGATACCAGAGTCATTCATCCAAGACCGGTCGATATTCTGGGCAGATTTTCCTATAAGCCCGGACGATTCAAGTTGCACATACAGACTGTCGCCCGTCGGTCGACTCGATTTCATGACTGATTGCTTGACCAAAGTGTTTTTACTTATTGGCTGCTTGCTTCACGTTGAGATATGGCCAGTGGCCTTAACCCCGTACGTCAGCCATTGTTTTATGCCGTATGACGAATTAAGCCGACAAATGACCAACTTGTACCACTGTTCTGCATCATTCTTGCAGCTGCGTTGTTTTTACCCCCGTGAAACAGGATCGCGGACGAAAGCGTACGAACATCAGGTGTTTGTTGCTGAAACAATCATAGAATGGAGGATATTGAGGATTTCGTTTTTCGACCACGACTATACTGTGATCAGACAAAATTATCACTGTGAAAGATGTCTTCCTGAAAGGCAAAAGACTAAAATGCGATGGGTTGGGCGCGTATCTGAGTTCAGTGATCACCGATGGGCGGCGACTGTCGCCTGATGGCACTTTCTAGGTTGTAAAATATGACTTGGTCTCTATGCAAAGAAATTTCATGATTTATTTCTGGCTTTTAAAGGATCCTTGTAGCAAACGCAGAAGTATGAGAGCAACGTGGAGGACGTGTTGTAACCCACTCAGTACTGAACCGCGGTAGACTGGGCGTCAAGGCATGGCTGACAGCTTTTCTAAACTTCATAATATCAAATATGTAGCTTAGTTACCTCTTGCTTAAGGTCACTATTTTGCCAGCCTTTAGTGAGATCATCCAAAATGGAGCTTTCGTTACATCCATTCATTTTAATAGCCTCCTGTTACGTTCCGGCCATCGAGCCAGCTGCTTCAGGAACCCATGGCGATGATTGTTCCGTATGTCGGATAAGGTTTTCTGCTTTTGATCTGCAGTGACATTTGTCACAAAAAATCTGATTTTTGGTATAAAAAAGCAGATATGTCACTCTCGCCAGGATTAATCAATACCACTTACGGAAATTAGCTGAAAATTAGCGGGGCATGCAAAAATTATCGAGTTTTGTATCACGGGTCGCCTGTTTTTTGCGTCCAAGAGCTATTAAGATTTATTATGTTAGCACAAACTCTGTAGCCACTCGCAACAGGTTTCAAGTAAGGGTTTTTCAAAGCCAAAAACAGCCATAAAAATGAAACGAAAGCAGGCTTACTCTCCTGAGCACTGGAAATAATTTTTTATTATAATGATTGCTTAACGGTAAAAAGGGCAAGTAATATGAGTGAAGTAATCTGCTTTGATAGTAAGGATCGTTTGATCCTCGGTTTCATTCTGAATGTTTCTTGCTGATTTGCATTCGTCCAATGGAAATTTGATCTGTAGTCTCAAACGGCTGGGACACAAGGCAAATTACCGCCTTTTAGGATTATTGATATTTGCTGACACTGTGTAGAGGCCAACATAAAACGAACCCGGAAGGTTTGTGATTCCTTCTCTTTTTCATCGTGAGGAGAACTCGATATCCGATATAAGTGCCATCAAAGCCAGATACTGATTTAGTTCCCACTCGAGAAGTTCACATGTCCTGGTGAACTCTTAACCAAGAATACACAGAAATCTACTTATAGCACTGAAGCTACTTATCATAGTACGGCCAGTACGGCCAGTTCATACTGAATCGTAACAGTTGGCATGGTTAGGCTTAATTTAGTTAAATAGTATTACCATTATGTCATATTATAACGCAGTCATAGCATATTCAATAGTCAACGATGAGGAGAAGATCGCATTTACTGCATCGTAACGCAACAAAGTTATCGGAACCGTCTTTAACAGAAATCATTAACAGAAGCTGTACAGCATGTATCACACAAGCCTACTTCAGAATATATTTGGCTGTTGCTGCTGCACGCTTTCTGAGGCTACGAAATCAGTGGACTAAACAATTTTCGTGGTTTAGTGATCGGTCCTCGTGTCAGTAACCAGTTTACCAACTGAAACCCTGTATGCCAAGTTGTGTACCGATAACAGCTGACGGCATTTTAAAATAAACTACTGAATTTTTGTATCCTGACAGGGAGCTAGAGTATTCTACGACTCTTAACTACGAACTTATCATTAATGCTGATAGCGGTGCTAATGGTACCGTTACCGATAGTGGTAAAATTACTGTTGCGCAGTGGAACTAGTGGGGCAAAGAATGGTCGACGTGCTTGGGTTAAATCCCTTGTTCGGTGTTAATTTTTTCATAGCTCCGTGTTTCCTTGCGCAGAGTTATTTACCCCACCCTGCTTCAGTGTAATTGGCCGATAAATCATTAGCAGGACTTGATATGCAATCAACCGCAACAGCATTAGACTCTGGTGTTGTTGTGATGCCAAGGCATGCGTAACACACGGCTCTTTTGTCCAACGCCCAGGTTTACGTCCCCAGATCGTGTTAATCTGCTTTTTAGCTGAGCAGATAACTATCAGGTGTAAACTTTAAAAAATACTAATCGAGCCGTAATCATAATGCTAATCGTATGTGATATGATGATATAGTCATATTAGTCATGCTAATAGTAGATGATATCAGCTCATTAACACTTGGTATAGAGGGTGCGAGGTCAAGTGATGCCATTCACGCTATATTTCATGGAGTGTGATTGCAATAATTATTAAATACGATACATACTGTTGATCTGAAATGGCTCAATCGTTT